AGACAGTGGCAATAAGCGTAAATAAATAAGCAAGATAACATCAAGATTCGTAATTAAAATAATATACACCCACAAGGAGCCAAGGGAGTTAAAACAGAGCAGCAATCCTCAAAATGTGTTCTCCAGCCCCATGCCAATCCATAAGCTGAATATTACCAGTCTGCAATAAGTAAATTTTGGAACTCAAGGGCTACTGTTTAGAAACTTATATGACAATTTAGCAGATTAACTTTACTGTTGAATTTAAAATTTTCTAAAAATGGGCTTGTAATTATTCTTTTTCACTTCATTTTTATTTAGTAATTCCTCTTCAGTCAACAGTTCACTTTTATCATAGTTCACAAAAATATTTCTGTGATGCACTGGAAAAAATAAACTTCCTCACAGAAAGTTTGAGAAATACTCTGCATATTGAAAACAAATGTGTTGTTGTCAACCTTAAATCCGTTACACATAGTTAAGAGGAAATTCCATTTTATGGACATTAAAATTTTATTTTCATGAAAGGCTATGCTGGTGTCCGGTCAGTTCCTTGTTATCAAATCACTGTACTTGGCCAGAATGAGCAAGTTTTGTTTTGTTTTGTTTTTCCCTTGGGTTCAAGCAACTTTTAAGTATCAAATGCTATTTTATGCTGCAGGAGTGTGACAACAAAATTCTGTTTAAATGACTAAATCATGGCTGGAACATAATTTAAGGTGGGGGGGGTGACAGCAATCCTACAGAAATGTGTCGATTAAGTTTCTGTGCAACCAAACAGAAATGTCAGGATCTTCCCCCACTTAAGATGCAGGGACCAGGGCACTGAGGCATGCGAAAAGAATTTGATTTACAATTTGAAGGAAAACCAGCAGTAAAATAATTGAGAGCTGGAAAGCAATCTTACTCCTGCCAAATTGCTTTCCTCCATGCATGCTCCATTTAGGGGCGATATTCAGATACTTACATTTAGTTTGTGCATGTTTTCTTTCCCCCTGTGAATATTCCATCCTGTCGGATTGGGACTGTTTCTCTGCTTCGGTCAGCAAAAGAGAATATCCAGGTTACCCAGCACTGGATTGTGCCTGGAGTTTTAGAGATAGAAAATGGTTGATTTTTTAGCTGCAAATGTGATAAGCTGGCTCTTAATGAGAACATTCTTGGTCCCTAAATTGCAAGCATGGGCTTCTTTCAAACAAGCTTTAACCTGAGTTCGTGGGAATCAGATATGTGAAAGCTCATTGCAAATTGTAAAGGGTTGGTAAGATATTTGTTAGCAACAAGAATCAGTACTACTATGACAACTGTAATTTGTGATAGAGATTTAGTGAATATCAGCCCTGGTGTGGCTTATGGCTTGCTTTTCCTATGAAGGATTCATAGATTAAAGAGGTCCTCCTCTCTTGCCTTGGAGTAATTACCTCTACGATCCATATATTCATGGATACATAAATAAGATATGTGTCGTCCTGCTAAACCCTTGCTTAGTTTGTTCTCTGAGTCCCATAGATGTGTAGTCATTTATTCATAATTTTTGAAAGTCAGTGGCAAAATCTGGCTTTGAAGTTTGGTTCCCATGCCATGTGTTTCGCCATGGAAGCACATTCTACAACAGCAAGAATTTTAAGGATCAAAAATATCTTTATATTAAAATGTCCGAGGTGTCCTCTTTTATCTTTCTTGCTCCCATTAGAAAATATTTTTGGTTTGCTTACAAGAAATGCAGACCTGACAGATTCATTTTGATAATTGCCTCATGGGAGCCTCTGACACTTTATGAGCTGGAATCAAAATTCTAATGGTCTCCAAAGGTAAGGCATAAAATACCATTTGGGGAGGGGGAAATAGGGTTATTGAAATGTAAACAGGAATAGACAATGCAAATTAGACTTGAGCCAAGCACATGCCTGTTTTAAATTTAAAATTGACTATAATCCAGAGCCGGTTATACCCTGGGTACCTAGAAGAAGATGGAGATGAATATGAAAGGAATTTTTATTAAAAAACAAAACAAAACAGCAAAAACAAAAGTTTGCAGAACCACAAATCTGTAAGCTCTAAAATTGATAGTGTGTGACTCTCCTGGCCAGACATTTGTCTTATGTGAACCAGGTTTTCCTATATGTATCAGCAGTGACACTCTTATGTTTTTCTCTCAGACCTTCAGTTTACCTTCAAGAGTCCACTTGTTCTTTGAATTAAAATTAAATGTACCTTTCTCACGAGCCTAAGTCAAACCATGGTTCCGCTTTGCGTTGTGACAAAATAGGAAGATTTTAAGAGCAGCGCATGACAAATGGTGGGTTAAAAGTTTAAATTATATGTGACTGTGCATACACAGTGCATACACACACACATGTTCACATGCACCCTTCACGTCCATATTCACACCAGAACCCCTCCTACCCACGGTCAGTTAAAGCAAATAATCCTAGAAAAAATGTGATGCACACATCATGAAACATTTTAACTTAAAATGTATCTATGTGCATTTATTTCCCCATCTTTTGGTGGAAAGTTGCTGTTGTTTGTTTTTCTTTCCCCAGCAAGTGAGGACTTCTAAATACTTTCCAAAAGTAAGTGAGGCTTTTCTTGAGTAGAGGTCTGATGATCAAAGGGTCTCTACTGGTCTTGCGGTAACTACACTCTTCAGGAATCATCTATCCCGTCCAGCCCAGGTTTCTGTAAGCAGAGTGAGGACTTGGCATCCATATGTGCAGAACCAGTCTGGACTCTAGATTCTGCTTGAAGGCTTTGCCATTTCTCTTCCCACACCTAACTTGCAGCGATGTTTAGCAGTCCCCCCTTTATCCAGTCTTTCCGAGGAATTCAACTTAGTTTTATGGAAAACACTCTCTTTTTGCACTCACCCTTCATTTGCTCATGTATCATTTCACTCGATTTTTATGATTCCAATAACAAATGATACCTGAATATAGAGCTTTGGAAGAAAACTTAGCTGATGCTTGGAACATTCAAATATAAGGGTTTCAGACAGATATGCATGGAGCTTAGTTATGTAGAGACTTACCTACTTGCTTCCTTTTCCCATCCACTAAACATTTGTCGCTAAATTTTGCTCAGAGATTGGAGATGATTATTTAACCCTGTTTTTCTAATCTCTAAAGAGCTCAGAATAAAATTTGTAACATGTTTCCAGAAATCTACAGAACTTGTTGGTCTTTTTTTTTTTTTCCACCAACCTGACGTCTAACTTCATCTTCTTTTTGTACATTTTTTTTTCTTCTATGCTCATAGATTTTATTTTCTATGTCTCATTATCGGTGAGAGAACTCCAATACTTTGCTAGAATGGCAATGTAGTTGTGCTTAATGGATGTTTGTTTTTGCTGTTGTAGGCCTAGTGTAGTCCACGTTATGCAAGATTTAGGTCATAAAATTAGCACATAAGGGAAAAAAGTACTTAGTTAAAATTATCATCGTACGTACCCTCGTACATCACAGAGAAGGCTCTGTGACTCAGTATAGCACATCATACCTCTAGAGGTTTAAAACACCCAGTTTTTTCCATAAGCTTTGCAACAGATCAAGATTATGTTGAGTGGCAGATGAAGTAGTTTGACTTGTTTTCGGGGGGGGGTCTCTGGCAAAACGTAGGTATGTTTAAAAGATAGAGAGGTGTGGGATGGTCATACCCCAAGATGGGCTTGTGGGAACTGAGATGTATGCCCCTCACCTAAGGAATTTCAAAGCACGTCATGGCTGATGTTACTTACGTATGCATTCTTCCCTCTGGATTAACTAAGTCTCATCTTTCTGAGAAGATGAGGAGAAAAACTCATTCTAGTCTCATTATATGTTCACATAGGACACACTCAGAAATTTTGAAAGAGTTAAAATAAAAGGAAAATGGAAAACCTTTGCTTGCCTTTCCAAGCCAGGAAGACTGCACTCTGAATTTTTTTAATTTGGTATTTCAAAGATCAGCCTCACTATTTTAAAAGCTTATAACCTAGGGTGCCTGGGTGGCTCAGATGGTTAAGCGTCTGCCTTCGGCTCAGGTCATGATCCCAGGGTCCTGGGATCGAGTCCCGCATCGGGCTCCCTGCTCCTCAGGAGCCTGCTTCTCCCTCTGCTTCTCTCTGTCTCTCCCTCTGTCTCTCATGAATAAATAAATAAAAAATATTAAAAAAATAAAAGCTTATAACCTAATTCTTCGGTGGTCATATTACAGATATGAAAACAGACTGATGTTCCCAGGTGGTTCTTAAATTGGAGTAATTTCTTCAAACATTAAACTTTTAGAAAAATTTATGCACTTGGATTATCAGGTCCCATTCTCTGCCTGTTATCTACAAATCTATAAAATATGAGCTTCCTATTTGATTCCTACCTTTACACCTTTTCATAATTAAGAGGGTCTATGTGTCACATATCCTATTAATAAAGTAATAAACTATTAGTCTTCAAAACAGAACTGCGCATAATATCTGTAGTAGTGTTTTCCTTGGTAGACTATCAGTGCAAAGCTGTTATTTTGTGTATGTGTTTTTTTTTTTCCCCATCCAAGACTAATTTTCTTAAGATGTCTGAACTGGAACATTTTTTAGTTCAGACAAAGATGGGAATGTACCATTTGACACTTTGACGTCTGTGCTCCCTGAGGACCCCTGAATTGTTTTGAAGGAGACAGCACTGCATAATGATTTAGGTTTCAGAGTGTGTGCTTGGGTGAGGCTGCCTGCTCTCTCACTCACTTTTACCGAACGTGGGACCTCAGACTGTCTAATCTCTTTGCACCTCAATCTCTTCATTCATAAATTTGTATTTGTATCTCCCTCGTGAAGTTACTGTGAAGATTAGATGAATTAAATTTATCTAAAGCCCTCGGATCAGTCTTCATATGCTGTGAGTTCTCAGTAGATTCTTATTAATATCGAGCTGGATGTCTGCAAGGGAGCGGGATCCACAGTGGAGGGCGGTGGGTATCACGTGACTGGTTGGAAGGCCGCCAGAATGTGCTCTGGTCTTTCATCGGCTCCCTCCTCTCGCCTGGCGCAGGTGGCCCCAACCATTAAGGAGCGCATGATGAAGAAGGGAAGCCTGATGCTGGGCTACCAGCCCCACCGCGGGAAGGTCAACTTTTTCCGCCAGGTGGTGATCAGCCCTCAAGTGAGCCGGGAGGACATGGACTTCCTCCTGGATGAAATAGACCTACTGGGGAGAGACATGTAGCTGTGGCTTTTGGTTCCCCAGGGGCATGGGTCCTGTCCTGGGGAGGCTTCCAGATCCACGGCATCTGGGGACACAGAGGAGACTGCAGGCCTTCTGGGAAGAAATAGGAAAGACGCCCTGGCCTGGTGTGGCCAAACGGAAATGCTAAGCAAATAGTGGGAAGGACTCTTCAGCTGCCTGGGCACTACTGTTGCTATTAAAGGAGGAAGTGAAAGGTGGATTTTCTTAAGAACTGTCTTTAGGACACAGCCTTGAAGAGAGTTTAGTAAATACCACATAGGACCTGATTCTAAGCTTCTACTGCTCTTTAAAGAACATATAAGTTTAATAGTTGAAAGCCATGGTTCTCAAAATGGCGGTCCCTAGACGAGCAGCATCAACCTTGCCTGGGAACTCGTTAAAAATACGGATTCTCAACCCCGCCCCCGACCTACTGAATCAGACAGTCTGGGTGTGCTGCTCAGCACAGTTTAAATAGCTTTCCCGGTGATTCAGGGGCAAGGTAAAATCTGAGAACCAGTGGTTTAGTGAAACCTTATAAAGACTGAATAATAGCTCTCATATTTTGCCAGCAAAGAGATAATCTGCTATTTCAGCGGCCCCTGAGCCAGTGTCTGAAAATAAGGCTGTGGAACCGGTAGCACTAATGTTTAGGGGCATCAGAAGTCCATCAAAACTATTTTTAAAAGCAGAAACTGTTGAAGATGTTTACTTTATAAAGATATATCTTTTATGCAGCTTAATGTTTTTTCTCAAAAGCTGAAATTAACCATTATCTATTCTAAATTACCCAAATTAGAGGTAAGGATAAAGACAAACACTTTGAAGCATGGCCCTTTCAATCAAAGGAAGAGTCCCAATTCACTTCCCACAGCGCTTGCATCATTAGCTTGGAGTAGACGGTAGATATAGATATCTCTGTGTACCTGTTTCAGCGCGAGGGGCCCATTTCTTATCTTGTTCTCTGCTTATAGGAAACAACCAAAATGAAGTCCAGGGTTATACAACATTCCCTTTCTCAAGCTTTGAAACGTCAGTGTAGACTATTAAGTGGTTCATATTAGGCAGAGAATCTGAGAATTAGAGGCCTTTCAGTGCAAACACCTCCTCCATTTCTCTTGGGAGTGGATGATTATAATTCTACTTCTGATCCTGGTCCTGGATTTCTAGGAGAACTCCATTTGACTAAGAAATAAACAGAATTCAGAGGTGTGGGTGCAGAGTTCAACAAGGTAAGATTGTGAATCTAATTAGAACTCTGATTTGGAAGGCAAAAGATGGAAGAGCGTTTAAGTATTAGACTTAGCGTATTCAATAACCTTTCATATGATACCATTAACTTTTGTTGATTAAATTTTGAAGAGTAAAAAGCTGATGTGTACTGTTTGCTTTTATCCCATATTTTCACTTTAGGGTGTGTGGTTTCTCAGTATCTCCATTGGTCAAAGAATATTTTAATCTTTCTTTGAATTCCTTTCTTCTCGGGTGGTAACTATTTGTGTGTGCATATGTTTTACATACCTTGTGCTTTTTTGTTTTAATGTCTACATAAAATGTGACTGAAATTGATGTTTGCAATAATTCCAGTTTCATGAAATAAAAAGCAACATTAGCACACACTTCGTGTTCCTGGCTTTTCTTTTCCTGTCATCTCCTTGTTACTGGGTTGTCTCAATACATTTTAGAAGTAATTGTGTTCCTTTGGCATTTTAGCTAAATAATTGAGGAAGCACATTGGAAGCTGTCTGTTTTAGAGGTAACACCTTGAGTAAAATGGAAAAAGCGGTTCTAGCAAAGGAAGGATTTGCCTCTTACTTAGTTTTTTGTCCTCCACGGGGCAAAGCCTCGGGAACCCGATAACCACACGTCAGCTCCCGTTGGGCCTCTTCTTGAAAGATGATAGTTCTCTGATGAATGAAGAGAACAACTGTTAACAGACACTTTGAAGATTCCATTCCTTTTTCCTTCAGATGTTCAGATATACCATACCCAATCAGATATTTGAATGGTCAAGAATAGTTTTTCGATAAAAGGTTAATTGTAATTCATTCACACATTGAACATATTGATGGTGTCCCTACAGTGTCCTAGGCAGTTATCCAGGTGCCAGGGATGTGCAGTGAATGAGACAGACAAAGTCTCTGCTCTTCGTAGGCTTTCAGTCTAGTTGAGGCAGACAGTCCACGAGTAAATATGCAACAAGTCAGATGGTAATAAGTATTTTGAAGAAAGAGGATGGAAAGGAGAGAGAGGTGTGCCATTGGAGAAAAGTTGGTTGGGGAGGGGCCTCTCTAATAAGGTGACATTTGAGGGGAGATTAAGGAAGCTAGGGAGGGAGCCATATCGGTATCTGGGGGAAGGGCATTCCCAATGGAGGGTATGGTAAATGAAAGCCCTGAGGAGCTGCATTCGTGGTATGTTCAAGGACCAACTTGGAGGTAAGTGAGGCTGGAGCAGAGGGAATCACGGGGTAAGTGGCAGATGATGAAGTCACAGAAATATCTGGAAGTTAGTACACTGGGCCTTGTGGGTGGAGACTTAGGTTTAAACAGAAACACACTCGAGAATCTGAACAGGGTACTGATGTGATTCAACTTTTATTTTGGAAGGATCACTTCAATCACTGTTTGAAGAATAAGGTGTCCGTGGCAAGCATGGATTCAGGGAGACCAAACGGGAAGCAACTGCAACAGTTCAAACAAGAAATGATGATAGTTTGTTTATACTAGAGTCACAGTAAGGGAAGTGATGAAAAGAGGCCCGATTCTAGAGGCATTTAAATGTAGAGTTGACGGAGGGGCGGCTCAGTTGCTTGGGCATCTGACTCTTGATTTCAGCTCAGGTCATGATCTCAGGGTCATGAGATGGAGCCCCGTGTCAGGTTGCATGCTGAGTGTGGAGCCTGCTTGGGATTTTTCTCTCTCTCTCTCCCTCTGCCCACCTCCTCCCCCTACCCCAGCTCATTCTCTCTCTCTCTCAAAAATAAATAATAAATAAATAAATGCAGAGTTGAAAGGGTTGACTGATGAAGCAGAGTGCTCCAGGAAATGAGGGATTTAAGAGAGTTTCATATACTTTTCTCCCGGGCAACTGCAAGAAAGGAATTCCATCCACTGAGGTAAGGACTGCAAAAAGGAGCTTTACCTGATTTTGGTCATGTAAAATTTGAATTGTCTCCACCAGCCAACCAGATCAAACATAAGTAATTGCTTTTGAGTCTCAATTTCAGGGGGAAGTTGGGGATAAAGTTATTAATTTGACAGCCATCAGCATAGGGATGTTACTTCAGATTACAGGATTGGATGAGATCATCGGGAGAGTGTCCGCAGATATAAAAGAGAAGCAGGACAAGGGACTGGGCCCTGGGACTTCAGCCCAAGAGGGAGAGGACCTGCAATGAAGACTTAAAAGGATCAGCCAAGAGGCAGAGAAAGGATCAAGAGAATGGTCACCCACAGGTTAAGTAAAGAAACATTTTCGGGGAAAGAGGGAGTGACCAACCATATCAAATCCTGGGGATGGGTCAAGTGAAAACTGAGATTTCCTTTAGAGTTGGCAATGTAGAGGCCGTTTATTCACTGAATTTTTATTTGCTAAATATAGGCATTTAAAATATAATTTGCAATATTTCTTCTAACAGTCAGCAGAAATGTATTCAATCAAAAGGCTTTTAAATTCCTCTTTTGATTTTTAACCACGGTTCTTTATTGGAAAAAGATCTAGTAACATAAAGGGATTTGAACTTGAAGAAGTATCTCATTGCTAACTGGATCAAAGGAGATGAGCTGTAGCAGTAAATAACAGAAAACCCAATTAACTGTGGTTTCTTCGGAGGGTTTTATTTTTCTCTGTTCTGAAGAGGTCCCAACATAGATAATCTGGGGACAGTGTCTTACATTTGGTTACTCCGTGAGTAGACACGGACTAGGATTTGAGAGCAGGTAGCCTGTTCACTTGGAACAGTGGAGTGACAGAAGGGAAGGAAACCAGGATAGTGAATATTAGTGAGCAAATTAATGCTGTGCCAACTGAGGCTCAGTCCTACCCATGACCTCTGGGAAAGAGTGTAGAACATACTTCAGAGATGGCCCGTCTGAGGGGTAAGGAGGAGGTGTATTTAGCACATTGGTGAATTAACGGGATGAGAGCTGACCCCAGGAGTATTAGTTCCCTGACCATCTTAATCATGCTTCCACAACCCTAGGAGGTCTTCAAGCAGAGAATACAGGTGCTTATGACCACAGCCTTGAGCAGGATTGGTGAATGTTGAGGAGATTTGGGAAGGGCGCTGACAGCTTTTGTAACAGATAGTGGTACCTCTACCCTATTGTCAGGGACCCCAGATCTTTCCATATTTTTGCTCTGCCATCCTTAGAGATGGATTCAATCATCAAGCTTTACTCAGGGGTTTCATCTGAGCACAGTGGCTCTAGCCATGTCCTCCACATTCCAGGCAGCAAGAAATAGGAAGGAACTTTCCCAGATGCTACCCACCTCCCCTTCATTGGCCATACCTTCTCTTCAGGGAAGAATGGGAAATTTGGTATTTTTTTGTCTGTTTTTGTGGGTTTTTAAATTTTTTAAAAGATTTTATTTATTTACGTGAGAGAGAGAACATGAGCAGGAGGGAGAGGGAAAAGCAGGCTCCCCGCTGAGCAGAGAGCCCGATGTGGGGCTCAATCCCAGGACTCTGGGATCGTGGCCTGAGCTGAAGGCAGCTGCTTAACCAACTGAACCACCCAGGCGCCCCTTTTGTGGGTTTTTTCAAAGCAAGATATGTTGCTGCCCACAACCATATAAATAGTTCTGTTCGTGGTAAAGAAAAACAGGAGAATGGATACTGGTGGGCAACTTGTAGTTTTTGCCACTGGGACACATGCATTGAGTGACACCAGTTCTGAAAGCATGATTTTTCCAGACAGCTCAGAAATTAACCTAAGTTGATAAAGTTAGATTCCATTTACACTGGAATCTGGTCTGGCTGGTTCAAGCTGAGCAAGTCAGCTCTGCCCCATTCCCAT